TGTGCGTGTGCGTGTGTATGTGTGTGCGTGTGTGTGTGTGCGTGTGTGTCTGGCCGAGGTAGGGGGTCGGTTGTTAAAGAGTTTAAAAGCGGAAGAGGAGTTGGTGTAGAACCAGTATTGATGTCGGGGAAGCCCACTGGCACTTTCTGTTCAAACATTTTGAGAGGACCGACCTGCCCGAGCTGCAGCGCCCGGGTGGCAGGATTCCCGCTCTTCCTGTTTCTCCTGACTTTGAGGAATTTTATGGTGAACAAACTCCCAGTGCTCCTCTTACACGCCCCACACCTCATCAGATACCTGCCTCAGCAAAACTAGAGACAGACCAAGAGAGCGAACTTTCCAGGCATTTGAGAGTTCCTATCTCTTGCCACCCTTTCTGTGTATCTACTTTTAATATCACTGATTCGATCTCACTGTTTATGTTAGATATTCTTCCACTAAAAGCACCAGGTGATGGATATCAGACCACATAATTGCTACCTGACTGACTTTATTATACACCACTTCTTTCTCTCTGACTAAACATATAAGCAGAATGTGCTGTGTTAGGAGTGTAAAATAGCCTAAAACAGGAAGAAACCCATTTATTTTTGGACCTGATCCAAAAGGAATAATTTTCAGACTGCTGCCAAAAATCAAGCAGTCTGACAGAGAGGAGTCTTCTCTTTTCTAAGGGTGTTGGTTCATGCTGAGCCCTGACTCATGACTCAAAAGTGTGCAATTTCAAAAATATTACAAACATACTGACTGTAGTATATATGACGTTCACCTGTGACTGTTCAAATGTCTCAGCTCAGACAGCTACCGAGGAGCATAAACCTACAAGTTTGGGAATGCTCAATTTCGAGAGACTTACAGTAGGCGGAAGAGGTTTACAATACATTGAAAGAAAACAAAAGGCTGGTGGAAGGGTGTCTAGGGTGGAGTGATGGTGCGACACACTTCTAAAGAAAGCCACTGTCCCCATCGCATCTCCAGTGTGCCTGTGGGCACATGTAGCATTAATTGCTGCCTCCACAGAGCCTGCAGACTGCACACACTATCTATTGCTCGCATCAAAGAAACCAAATGCTGAACTTTATGAAATTTTTATTCAATGTGTTCACTTCTCTTCCCTTTTTCCTCTCTTTCTTCCTTTTCCTATTCCCCACCTTGGCCCCCCTCTCCCTTTTTAGCTCCGCCACCAAACAGACAAGAAAGACTTTTCTCTGCCATGTTTTTCGGCTCGACTTCCTTCCTGCCCAGAAGCACTCGAGTATCTCGTTAGTTCTCTCACAGCTAACATCTCTCCTCTATCTGCCAGGAGCAAAAACCTGATCGGAGGGGGAGGAAATAAAAAGAAAAGAAAAGGGGGGACTACATCAAGAAGTTTGGTGGGTAAGATTCTCTGTAGAGCTAGGTGAGAAACTGTAATATCATTTAGCTACAGTAATTACAGATACACGAAGCACACAGAGGAAAGAATAGAGATGAGAGGGTTTTCTCTCCCTGTGGACAATGTACACCGAAGGGCCTAAGTTTCATCATGAACTTAGCACAGATACAAGTGCATGCAAAAACACATGCAGGATCATTGTTGGTAATGATACGGCACTGCCCTGACATCTAATATATGAACAAAGGTTTGTCGAAAGGTTGGCTTATTTAATATATTCCACAATTCCTTCTTTTCACTTACACACCTTTTTTTGCTGCTCGCCTGATTATGACAACTGAGCAAATCCGGAGTTTCGATTGATGCACCCCGCAGATTACCTTCCTTTAAACTGCTCTCTTTCATACACACACACACACACTCACTGTGGTCATCCATCAAAACAGCGAGTGTTGTTTCTTCCCCCCACACGTCTCATACACACAGGTATAAATCACTGCGTCTGATTTCTGGGGCCAGGGTTTAAATAATTAAAGAGCTTTAATTTATCAGGATTTAGCACCCACTAACAGCAGGGCTGACAAAGGAGAATGAGAGATATTGAGAAAGAAAAAAAGGTCATTATACATGAGATACATATACAAAATTATTACACATTTTACTGAGGAGAAAAAGGAACATCTAGGGCTAAGTGGCACCAAAGACTACGTGAAAAGGCATTAAGGTTCTGCTCTAGAGCTACTTGATCTGGTTTTATTTTACCTGTTGGTAGAAGACAAATGCAATGCAACGGTGTGTGAAGATTTGCACTACGCACTGTATATATTTGATTCGTGACAATAACAAGTCAGTGGAAAACTACACCGATGTGAAAAAAAGAGACAATTCACATTTTAAGAATTAAAATGAAAACATCCAGCAAAAATCAAGCAAAGTCAAACAGAATTTTCTTGTTAACCACATGCTGTCAGTTTGGTAGGCATACAAATAATAATTGTGGATTTTTCTTTCATAACTGTTGGCAGTGATGTGAAGAAATGTGAAAACCAGCTAAACAAACTGGAGTGTTTCTTTTTGTGATGAAGCATCCAAGACACTGGGAATGAAAAAAACACACTACAGTAAGTTACATTTAAAATCTCAAAGTCATGTCATCCACCGTCTGGAGCGAACTTGTGGTTATTCTGTTAAAACTATAACAAATAACCCCTCTAAAACCTCAGTTTCAAAAGATCAGTGACATTTTTGTGCATTTGAACAAAACCCAGTTAAAAAGTGAAGCTGGAGAACAACACATTGAGTAAAGTACATTTATAGAATGAAATCTGTGTTGGATTATGTCTTGCAACAGAGCCAGGAGGCTGGTGAGGGCCGTGGCTGTCATGAATGGCCAGAGAGCGGTGGAACTCTACTGCCCCCCTATGGCCATAAACATGCAAATAAATTCTCATCAAAATGAAAAATAAAAGAAATCACAGAACTGACCGATTATAACACACGGATGGTCTCCTACTTGCATCTTTTGTTTCACCCGATGAACTATTAGCCCTATGAGTTTTGGAAGTCAGAAACAAGATCTACCAGCAGGCACAAAGACATAAGGGAGAAACATTACAATAAAGCAAACAGCCCTCTCTGGCTTTGTTTGACCCTCATATTATTTATTCTTTCCAGTAGATCTCTGAAAACAGAATGAACACACACACTCTCTCACACACAAACACATACTTCACGCAGAAACAGCATTAAAAAAAGACAGAGCTTCCATCTGCTGATAAACTCAAAAATATAAACAAAAAACGCCCTCTCCTCTTTTGAGGGAAAACATGCAGAGTCACTCTTGAGTAGATTATTATATATTATTGTTAACATTACTTGACCACTTCACTGAGTGAAGTTTGTCGTTTGCTGGCAATAGTTAGCCACCTAGTGGTCAAACCCTCTTATAACATCAAGTATTGACGACAGGGAAATTTAATTACAACTTTGGAAGTTTTTGGCTATATGACACCATGTCATCAATAAACAAACTGCTTTAACAAACATAGTTTAATAGATATTCAACAAACTATCAAGTCTACAGACTCAACTGGGGGGGAGGATAAGAGATTATCACACCAGAAACACAGAATCACTCCTAAATCAGACAGTACAATATGCTTTTTTTTTTTTTTACCATATTGCGTGATTTATTTTCTGAATAATAAACCTATAGAGTCATAGCAACAAGACCAATTTCCCTGTGAAACTGATTACCATAGTAATAGAGTACCACCATCCTCATGATAGATGAATGATGATACAGTGTGTTGTTCTGTCTTCTCAAGACTTCACATCACTGGATTCCTCCTCAGGTGGATTGTTCACACTTCAGTTGTCCAAAAGAGAGCGCTGTAGAGCCTCCTGGATCATTGTGTGCTCATCTGTAGAGTAATCCTGCAAAGACATGGATGCAAAGAGAGAGGAAAACAGGACCAAGTTAACTGACGGTCATCACACCCAGAACTTTCCATAAGCGCCAGCTGCTGGATAAACAGCCTATTAATCATTTAAGTCCAGCTGGCTACTTTTATTTCCGGAAAAAATACTGTATTAAGTTCCTGCTAATGAAACATTTCCTACTGCTGCAGCTACACAATAAAAGCATTTAACTGGCAAAACTGTTGACTTTTTTATGAAGTAGGCAAGTTACAGGAAATGCAATGTGTGAGCTTGACACTGGCTACTATCATTCCTCAAAAGTGTCTCTACAAAGCAAGACTGGTCATTTTTGGTGATTTTTTAACGGCAGATCAGTTTTAAATATTGCAGGGAGAAATGAAACAAGCAGAAGCAGCCACAGTGAGCTGTTAGATGAAGGGCTGCAGCTGCACCAACTTCTCTGTGAGGTAACTACTTTCACTTTCACTGTTCACAGACTAATGCGCAGCATAAAATCAAATCACGGTTGCTCACTGAATGATGGACAGAGGTCAATTATTGCCTGATTTTATTAATACAATAGCAGTTTGTTTGGCTTCCTCCAGACTTCTGTGACCGGGTTTCTCAAATAAGAAAACTGTCAGTCAATTGATCAAGTACAAGAGAATAAATACACTGCTATATGCAATAATTAAGATCAGTGTATATGATGGACCACATTTGGGCTTTTATGACCAAATTCTTTCTCCCTGCCTCTAACTGGCTAACTTTTCCTACTGGCTGGCTACTGGAAAACTCTGCGCATCACATTAAAGAAACTCCAGATAGTGTTTAAAGTCTCAACTTACAACAAAGGTATCATAAGAGAAGGTGTGTCTGATCTTCAGGTGCTGAAAAAAGTCAGCACTCCTGTAGTTAGGGTCACCCCAAGGCATTGAGGCACAGATGGGGCACACCTGGACAGAAACAAAGTGAGAGTAATAAAGCATCTATGAACCAATTAACCCTCGCAGCATTCAAACAAAGCATGTAACCTTATTTTTAAAGAGCGACTATTGGAGTCACAGTGTAGCGTGGATTTCCTACCACTTGGCGTGCATCTCGAGCATGATGGGAAGTGCAATGTTCAACCAGGCCGTCCTGATCAAGGTTCTGGCAGTTGCAGTATGGGCAGGTGAAGGTGAACCGATTTGGAACTGGACTGTGGGAAAGAAACAGAAACAATACAATACGTCACACTACTGAGTCTGTATTTAAACCTTTTTTCTACAAAGAGACAGCTTAGCTATAGGGAATATTGCAACTGCATAAAACTTAGCTACAATAATAGTATTTTTTCTGGTTTTAAAGGCTGCAAATACCATTTTCTGAATGAATCCAACTGGGTAAAATGACTTGCAAAGGACACTACCTGATTATCCACATTCCAAATGACTGTTTCTCAAACTTTTCCCATTTGTAATTATCTCCACAAAGCACAAATACTTATCACAAAAATATGTTGCAATATAAATATCCATTCCACTTTTTTACAACCTGGGTCTGTTTCCAGTTTTGGCTGAAGAGGATAATCCATTTAATGGCTTTATGGGTTGATTGTCTAGTTTACAAAAGGTATGTGGAATACGGTATGACAACCAGGAAGTCAAACCCAGTGACAAGTCATTGATGGTGATGTTGTGTTTGAGAACAACATTTTGCTAACCTATACATATTCTACTACACACTACACCAGTCAGTGACAGCCCAAAATCTCATTTTACTGCTTAATACTGAGTAAATTACTGAGTGTTTATTACGTAGGTAATAGAGAATTAGTAAACAAGGAAGTGATTTTGGACAAAGTCCTGGTTTTTCTTATCACCCTGTATTTAACCTGGTGATGGCAGGCTGGCTTTGGGCAGTGGTCCTCACTCCCTCTTCAATGTACTCCTGGTATTTTGAACAGGCAGCGGTGTGGCTTCTCATCTGAGAAAGGCCAACCTGAATAGAGAGGAAGCACACAACAATAACTGCTAGTGCAAACAAAATTATAGAATTGTTCTGTTCAATGTTTGCAATGTCAACTCTGCTACTGTCTGAATATATAAAGACTGAATCCTGACACAGTATCAGTTTACGTTTGGTCTGAACTAGGGTTGCGCGATATGGTTAAAAGATCATAATGGAATTATTTTCAGTTATTGCGATTTGATTCACGATTCATGTGGGAATTCACAAATTCAATGTTCACAAAAAAAAAATATTAAAATCATGACAATGTGATATTCTTGGGGGTCTGTACCAAAACACACGTTTTCTTAAATCTGGAGAACAAGATTTGTAGACCAGGGCATCTCTGCAGCACTACAGTACTTCTTTATAGTGCTGTTTTATCACACATTTACCTTTATTAAAACATTTGCATATTGCTTCTACGACATGCGTATTGCACTTGGCCGTATTGCAAATTGTGAGTAATTGTGCAGCCCTCGTCTAAAACTTTGCGTGTTTGCGAAATCTAATTCACAACAAACCAGCAAAAGTCAGTGAAATGTCTGATCTCTGAAGCTTCTGAATAGTCATAAAACATACCTGAATTCCACATCCCTTGCAAGACGCCACAGATGATTGGATGAGGGCCTCAAGCTCAACAGCTTTATTCCAGTGACCCAGCCCGGCTCGACATACAGCACAAACAGGCTTCTGTGGTCGCAAACACTCCTGCAAACAGCTCTGACAGAACCTGACGAGAGACGGGAGAAGAAATGTGATGAACAATTAGGAATCAAGCCACTAATTCTGCTCTATTTTAGCCTCTGATGACCAGAAGGAAAGTTTTGTTGTTGTTGTTTTCTTTTTACAAGCATTCCTACTATTTATAGGCTGACTGATTAAAATACACTACAAGAAACCAGATGGTGTCATTCGCTGAAAGAGCCCTGTAAACCTAACTAGAGCTTCCTGTAAATCAGATGGAAAGTCCCCACCTCAAGAGGGCGCAGGGACTTGTAGTCCTTTCAAGCGGCTTGATGAGTCCAAATAATAGAGATCTGAACTACAACTCCCAGGTGAGGCCTCCTCTTTGATGTAAACAAAACTGAAACTGATTTAGCAAGCTGGCATCGCTTTTGCCAAATATTCAAGTAAATAAAACTGAATTACAGGGTCACAACAAACGCATGCACATGCGTGGTCGATGATGTGCGTCTCCGGTGGCACGACACGTTCAAAAACAACAATTTCCCCCCGGTACTTTTATCTCCTACCATTGAATCGCTGGTGGTCGACGTGGGCTGAGGGGAGGACGATCGACAAAACAGGCGAAAATACTCACGTATGTCCGCATTGTGTTTTGACGGGACTCTCGAAAATCTCGAGACAGACTGGACAGACGAATTCTGACACGTCGCTGCTCCCGTCGGAGGCGTTTTTCTTGAGCTGTGCAGCGCTGAACCCTCCGAGCATCGCCATTTCTTTTCTTCACCGACTCCGTCCCCCACCAGCCGTCCCTCTGACGACGTCACCGGGCTCTGCTGCTTTTTTTATGCGCGAGGGCGGAGCCATCGGCGAAAGAACAACAAAGATTGTGTTCAAGTTAAACAGCCTGGTAAACAACAACAACATTATCCGACTGTGAGTACTAGTGACAGTGCAGCCACGGCCAATGCAACTGACTTTGTTTGTTGCCTTATTTTCTCGATGAATTGCCTGTAAGTGCCCATTTCTCTGAGGTTGCTATCTTGTCTGTTCTGTCCAATACAAACATGGGCAAACATTATCTGTGAGTACTAGTGACCAATGGCCAATGCTTACTATGCTTCTTTTTTGCACTACCATAAGTATTGTATATTGTATATTTTATATTTTATTTTCTATCTTTTTTTTTTTATCTTTTAGCATT